CTGTAATGTCAGAGGCAGTTTGGATGCTTCAACAAGCGCTGGGCACCTGCGAGCTGTTGAAGTGACTCCAAAGCCATGGCTGGGAATCACAAGCCACGCATGTTACCCAGACCGTGCCTTCCCCAGGCTCTGATGCCCCTTCTCATTCCTCCCAGCAAACCCCTCCCAGCAACCACAGCCCGTCATGTGGGCTGATCCCAGTGGCTGAGGCGCAGTCTCATCTCCTTAAACCACACACAAACCCGGGGCAGCTCTGCAAGCCTGGAGCTGCAACAGCAGAGGTGTGTGGTAAGGTCTCCAATGACTAAGACTTCATTATTTTTTACAAAGTATACTGCAGAATATTTATCTGTGCATTATGATGAATTAGCATAAATAATTAAAAACAGAACTCAGATTGGCAAACACATAAGCAAAGGGCACTCGCTAATGGACCAGGCTCGCTCTGCTGCTCCAGGGACTCACTTAGATACAAGTCCTTGCCAAACAGGCCAAGGAAGGATTCATATTTGTCCTTCTTTTTACCCCAAACCTGTTCCCATTTCACCCCAGATGTTATACACAGGCTGGAGGTGGGTGAGCACCTCTTACAGAGAATCTCCCAAAAGGGGAGGAAGAAAATAATGGAAAGCCCCCAGACCTTCAACCTGTTCCTTAAGTCCCATGACTCTCTTCTCTGCAAACAACACACCTACGATCAGTCATGCAGGAGATGCTCACTGGTGCTTCCCAGAAATGCTGATGATTTGATGGAACACATGACTCTGCCTCCTCTTTTTATTCCAGGTATTAAGCAGTACTGAAAGAAGATTACATGGCAAATAGAGAAAGGTTCTCTAATGTTCCCCATGGTTTCCCCTTCTCATCAGCAGGTACACCATGGTGATCTACACCAGCAGAGTGTAGCTGATATTTCACACTTTTCCAAAAAGAAAAATCTAATCCCAAACCTTTCCCTGGTCTTATTTTTCTGTGAAAGGTTGCAGTTGTCTCAGAAGATGGTATGAAAATGAGAATTTATCCTAGATGTCTCTCCTTCAGCCTCTCTTTTCTTTAAGTCAGGTTGAAAATTTTCCACAAATTGCAATTCCAAACTTGATCTGTGTTATGTTATCTTTGTGGACTCTGTTCATTATCCACCAAATAGTTTGGGCTTACATTAAAAATAAACTGGAAAAATCAAAATCTTACTTGTTTTCAATTCTTCGTTCTATTCATTAATGCTTCAGTGCATAAATAAAGTATTTGGATGGTTTGTGGAGGCGGACAGGTCTCAAGTCTGTCTCCCTGGCCAAAGTACACATCCCACGAGGCACAACCACAGGGGTTTCCTACAATATATTGTGCTGCCTAACACAAAGGGAAATACAGTACATCATGGGAACATCAGTTATTCCTACAGCGACACGAGCTCAGGAAAGAGCAGGGATAGATTGTAACCTGACCTGCAACCCCCAAGAGATATTTCCAAATGAAATACCTCAAAGGTTAAAAGATATTTATTTTATTTTATTTTATTTTATTTCATTTTATTTTATTGAAAATGTTCAGCAGGAGTTTAGCCTTACAGAGGTGAAGCTCTTCTTAGGAAAAACAAATTTCTCTTACCAACTATGCCACAAGGACATTGCCATATTGCCAAGAAGTCCATCAACCCTGGTATCCTAGCAAAGCAGAACTTCCTGGGTGATATATAAATCTCCTGTCCAGTAGAGCTGGCAGAGAATAAATTTTCTGATAGAAAGGAAACAGAGTCAGCTTCTTTAGGGAACAACTCCCCAAGAATAGGCTTGGACAAACTCACTTTTGCAGAATAATAAAGAAGGAAGAATCACAAAGAAAGTATCTCGTGCCACTTTCTGTAAATCACTGCCAGTGAAAGCTGAATGTTAAAGTTGCCATCAGGAACTTTTCCCTTTCTCCCCTGCATCTTTGCCCCTAGGGCTTGGCCTGATCACATTCATGCATTCTCCTTGAATTATATCAATAGACTGAATCATTTCAGTAGATCTAACGCCACCTAAAACTAAAGCAAGAGTTTACAACAGGCACTGCTCAAGCCTTATTTTTGTGCACATTATAGGAGTGAGATACACAGGGGACCATGACCCCTTGGCAGCCACATGTGCATTGGTGTATGATTTAATGAGATCCCATCTGTACCACCCTTTTAAAAGTTCTGGCATCCAAAGCTTTTGCAAAGACCTTGGCAAAGCCCCTTCCTGAGCCCCACACAGCATCCTCAGCATGTCCTGAAAGTTGCAACTCTCTTCCATCAGCAGCTTACTGCTTCCCAAAACCCTGGGATATGCACAGCATGGAATCCTTTGTATCATTTCTTCATTAAACACCTCTGAATACTTGGATCTATAAGGAATTAATCACATCCATCCATGCTGCAATCCCTTTTGGCCCTCAGCTATTTATTGTCTGGTTATTTGTATATAAGAACAATCATGTCACTGGTAGTTTCAAGTGCACGGCATTTATTGCAAAGTTACTCACAAGATGAGACAAAGTGTAACATGACACTAAGATAAGATAAACGGGACTTTTACTGAAGAGTAACACAGGATCAAAACTGTCAATTTTATGAAAAGACTGGAAATCTCTTGCCTTCCCAAGGAAAACTGTTCTAGTGTGAAAAGTATCACTGGGGGACTGCAGGGATAGCACTACAAATTGTAACAGCAACACCTCCAACATCAGAGGGACTCCTTTAGGGAAGGAAAAAAGGTTAAAAGACAATTCATTTGAAAGCAAGAACAGAGACTTCGGATACCAACTTAGATGCTGCTTCCCACAGCACTTCTCCTGCCCTCGAGCAGGTCTTCATTCTCCAGTGGCAGGAACAAGCTCTGAAGCCTGTCAGCAAGATCTCAGCACACTCTGCCGTCACTCTCACCAGATTCCTTTTTGTAGGGTTTGATCCTACACTGAGGTAAGACCCCACAGCTTCAACTGAGTTCAGAAGGAGCTGAGACTGAACAGAAACCCAGTGAGGCCAACTTGGACTGCTGAGCCCCCTGGGGTGTCCTGGGAAGAGACAGGGTGTTTGTGCTCAGCTGACAGACTTTAGTGTTTTATTTGCTTTAAGGATAAGGACTTCTAAAAGTGTTTTGTTTCATTTTCATTAACATTGAACTTGGCATCAATGGTTTTAACAAGACTGTTATTGACTTCTGAGAGAGCAGGTCAGACTCACATTTCAGTTTTGCAGGACTGAGTAGTCACCAAAGCAAAGTTGACCACGCAGTGTCAGGTCCACTCCTAAGAAGGATGGAACCTTCCAAACATCCTGATTTTTTCCCATTCTGTGAGCCATATTGCATAAAGATCTTAAGGTCAACCACACATATAGAGAGCTACCTAAAATAAACATTGTAACTTGGAAATTCTTATACCACTGCAAATAAATGTGAACCTCTCAGCTCACCTGAGCCTCTCCAGACACATCCACTGTCCTATTGCCTATATCCAGACACAAGCCTGGGCACAGATTTGACCCAGTTGCCACAGAGGAATGCCAACTGCTCACGATGCTCTGCCATGTGCCAAAGCCTCACTGGTGCAGTGTGTGTGTGGGTGGGTTGACCAAGGCAGGATAAAAGGGGTGCCCCTCTGTCCAGACATGGCTCTCCCCAGCAAGAAGCAGATTATGCAATACTGAACATGACTGAACAGCAAGATCTGGACCAAAGAGCCTTCCCAGAGTAACACATTCCAAGAGCTGTTGCTCCCTGCCTGCCAGCACGAGTTTTCCTGAGGCAAAAAGGAGCGAAAGAACTAAAAAAGTGTCACAGCATCCATCATCCACATTTTCATAGAAATCAATCTGTAAAACAGGACCCGTGTCCCAAGATGTACTTTATAAATAAACACTGAAAAGGGGGCAGCAGCAATGAGTGAGTGGCACACAGCAGCACACCAGGAGTGAACGTTTCATTTTAATTCTTGCCCAGGGCTAAATCCTTGCCAACATCATGAAAAATTTGCCTGAAGGTAAAATCACAGCCCTACACTCAAGGTGTTTATTTGCAGGTGCAAAGACTATGCCAATGATTAGGACTTCCCACGATCCGGCTCCAGGCTACAGTCCATGCAGCTTGGAGAGCTTTGTTTGTCTTTGCCAAGTAAACCAGTTTCAGAAATCACTGCTTAAATCCTCTGTCACATAGAGCTGTGCACACCTAATAGCATCAAAGAAAAACAGTACCACCGTGATCACTGATAATCCCTTGGGCTTCCAAACACATTCACAACACTAAACCTCACATTTATTTTAATTGGACTCTGCCAACTCCATTCTATCCTGTACCCAGAATTATTTTTTATTATGAAAACTTAAAGGTACAGAATTTTTTAGGAATGCAAACCAGCCGTCATTCACTTGACTTGTCACCTTCGGACCGCAAAACGAGTTTTGTTTCCTCTCAATTCACTTGTGGTCAGTGTAACTTTCTGCCTGACTTCGCTGCAGCGTACAGGTTTCATGCACTGCGGGGTGATGCTTATCGGACCAAAACCCGACGGTTTTCATTTGACACTTTCAACTACTTGAAGGAGCCGGTTCGCTCGGGGTTTGTAACACCGAGTTGAACCGCACGCGGTGCTCTGGGCTGAGCTGAACTGGCCGCGTTCCCCTGAAGCACTTCGAGCCTTAAAACCGCTCAGAGCTTGGTCTTTCTGGCATCCCTTTCCCAGCGTCTCAGACACAGAGGCTCAGGAATGCCACTCCAAGGCAACGTGGGGGTACGGACAAGAAAGGGACACAGACTTAAAACAGCTTCTCTTTTTTGGGAAACCCGACTACAGAAAAGAAAGAAATAGAGCCGCTCAGCAGCACACCCCGTATCAGACCCTTGCTTCCACACACGCCCGGCACCGGAGCGAGCCCCTGGAGCGTCTTACGCCGAGAATGATAAAGCAAAACGGTGTCCCCGGGCGCATCCCCCCCAGGGCAGCCCCCGGCATCCCCCCGGGGAGCACCGCGTACTCACACGAAGGCGTGATAGAGCAGCGCCCAGCCGCGGGGTCGTTCCAGGGCGTCGTAGATCAAAGTTTGGATGCGGCGGTACCTGGCGTGGTTCCGCTTCACCGGGCGGCTCAGGGGGGTCTTCGCCAGCAGCCCCAGCCCCGGCGGGCTCCGTTTGCCGCCCTCCTCCTTCCCGCCGCCCTCCAGCAGCAGCGTCCCGTCGCGGTCGCCGCCGGCTCCCAGGGCCAGCGAGCCCTGCTCGGGGTCGCCGCCGCTCGCCGCTCGCCGCCCCGCCGCCGCCGCCTCCCCGCCGGCCGCGCTACCGCCCGCGGCGCCCCGCCGAGCCTTCAGCCCCATGGTCGGGCCCCGGAGGCGAGCTGCGGATCGGCGGCGGCGGCGGCGGCAGCCCCGGGAGCCCCAGGGCCATGATCCGAGCTCCCCGCCCCTCCCCCCAGAACGACTTCTCTATGTATTTATATATATATATTCATCTATGTATGTATGTATATATATATATATATGGAGGGAGGGGGGGGTAAGCGGCGGTGGGCTGGGGGAGCCGGTCACATCCCCGTCAGGTCATTCCTGCCGGCGGGCAGCGGGCAGGCGGGAGCGCGGCGCGCACCTGGGGCCGGCGGGAGGGAGGGGAATCATCGCGGAGTTTATTTACCAGCCCGATGCCCGAGCCCCTTCCTCCCCCACCCCACCCCCCCGCGCCTTCCCTTCCTCCTTCTCCTCCTCCTCCTCCTCCTCCTCCTCCCAGCTCCTGCCTCCCCCAGCCCTCACGTTAGGGAGTGGCCCATTGTATGCAGCCAGCAAATAGCCGGGCGCCCGCCCCCCGCTCCCCCAGCCCCGGCTGTCGAGTCATCTAGGATGTGGGGGGCACCGGTCCCGGTCCCCCGCCACGAGACTGCCCTCCCAGCCCCCGGCTGACAGCCCCCCGCAGCCGCCGCTGGGGCCGCCGGCGCCGAGCGGGGAGATCCCGGCAGCCGACGGAAGGGGAGACCCTGCTCGACACCCGGGGATCTCCCTGCAGCATCACAGCCCCCCTCCCCCGTTGCGGCTGGAGGGGAGGGAGGGGAGAGGAGGGCATCCCCGGCCCCCGGCGGGGGGCTGCTTCCACCGCAGAAGCAGGAAGGAGCGGAGGATGGGGATGAAGGATGCCGGGAGAGGCGGAGGGTGGGTGGCTGCAGGCGCTGCTGCCGCTGCCGCTGCGGCTCGAGCCGAGCCGAGCCGGAGCCTCCGCCCGCGGAGCGGGGCTTCGGGGGCAGCACAACCGGGCAGCCCCGGCCCCGCCGGGGAGCCCCTTTTTGCACGGGGCTCTCGTGGGAGATGCTGCCGCTGTCCCCTCCCGGGTGGCTCCTGGAGGGAACAGCGCCGGTCCCGAGCCCGGCTGCGGACCCCAGGGGTCCACCCCGAACGGTGGGACCCAAGAACTCCCCTCGCTCCGCTTTGCCATGTGTACCCGCACCCTGGTCCTGACTTCGGACCTAAAACCTGACGGGATGTGATTGACAGCCCTGTACCCTTTTCCTTTCAGTTTCTGGGCTGCAAGGAAGACGGGAAGGGACAAGCTTTTGTTTGCCCTACACTCTTGGTGCCCTGGGATTTCTGCCACAACGCACTAGAAACAACCCCTCCGAGACGTGCTCTTGAGTAAAAACCTATCTGCAGGGCAGTGCATTCACATATCTGCACCTTAGGAGGAAAAAAAGATCTAAAAATAAAATAAAATGCAATAAAATTAAATAAATTATTAAATTAAAATAATAAAATAAGATGCAAAGCCTTACAGATTGCTTCTTGTTTTCACGGGAGGTTCTCCTCCTCCAGATGGGGGAGTTTTCCTGGTATCTCCTGAAGAGATGCCAAGATACCCAAGAGTTCTTCCAGACTCATAAGAGAACCAGATTTGCCACCTACTCTAGCTGCTCCTGTTCCATTTCTGAGGGATGTGCAGTCCTCCTGTTTCACACACCAGGAAGGACAACAGATGGAAAGGGAGCTCCTGGAGGTGATTTCTGGACCCAGCACAGGCCACACTGTTTTGGACCTGAGTCACTTATAAGTGACACTTCTGTTATCGCAGTGCCAGGTGGAAAAAGGGCTGTTTTCCCATATTTCACCTCTGAGGTGATTCTCTTGAGCAGAATCTGTGCCAAAGAAGAAAAAAAACCTCTGCCTTCAGCTCTGCAAGCTCCAGCATTACCATGTCTCAGTCACCGTTCAATTTTGAGCCTTTGCAACCCTGTGGGATTTGTCTCCAAGCAGCTGAGAGCAGACAGCAGCATATCTCACGCACCCCCCCCCGCCCAGTGTCTGCAGCCAGTGTCGGGATAGCTGAGATCTCCATGACATTATCAGCGAGGAAGGGCTGGCCCGGGCGCAGCACCGGGACCGCACACGTTCTGCTGCCTGCTCAGCTCACATCTATCAGCATCATTTGAATGTCATTTATAGCTGTATTCCCAAGGAGGGCTGTGGGAGGCTAGGAAGTTTTGATAACTAGGCCATTTATCTCTCTCCAGCTCCTGTTCTACCTCAGTACAATAGCGATTACACTTCCCAATACCACAGGGGAGCTATAAGCATTAGCGAGGATGGATGGGGCACTGAGAGTGGAGCATTTCCTTCAGATAACACCCTATGCCTTAACCTTCATCCCAGTGTTGCATTAGGAAGAGGTGGGAGGAGAATGGGAGAGGAAAGAAAATTTATAGCTAACCAATTCATCACAGCTTTGAACCACAACAGTAAATGTTCAAACCGAAATGGGAATGGGAAATACTTTTCATGGGGGAAGGCAGTAAATTATTTTCTCTTGCAAAGGGTTGTACCACTGTCAAATAGCAATAGGTGACTGATAGGCAGGCACACCAGGTGTGCCTTTTATAGCCCTTGCACCAGGGACACAACACTTTTCAATATCAATTACATGTTGGGGGTTTTCAGTTGCAGGCTTCTGGGACATTTTCAAGCCTCAAATTACACCTGTATAAACCACCATTTGAGATCCAACAGGAAAGAGTTTCCATCTCCTCTCTAAAATTAAAATCCCATAGCTCAGTGTCAGGAATCCTCCTCCTCCATACTCCATCTGGGATAACTGTTGCACAGATGTAGCCGTACTGGCTGAGAAGTAGTGTAACGCAAGGGGAGTTAGCTAAATCCTTCTAGATCAATCCAAAGACACACAGCAGCTTCAAGGGGATCTGAATCAGAACCCAGTAGTGGTGCTGCTGTACGTGGTTGGCAGTACCACTGCTTGGGACCCCAATCCTATTGCACACCTGCTGGCAAAGCTCCCGCTGATGTCGAAGGGAGTTTGGCCAGATGGAGGGCTCCAGGCTATGATTTGGCTTAATGAGCAATTACACTCCATTACTATTATTTATGATGTGTTGCTGGCAGCAACCAGCATGCACAGGTTTGATATCCACCTCCTTGGCTGACACTGGAGATCTCTGTAATCAAAAGCAAGTGCTTCTGCCGAGCTGCAGCCAGGAGCTGTAACAGGCTCTGCCGGGAGTGTGCAGAGGAACTGCTGGTGAGCATCTCCAGTAGGCTGTGCTGGTCCTCATCAAACAGGAAACTGCTTCAGTCAAAGAGTTTATATCTAAAATCAGAGAAAACCAGGAAGGGATTATATCTGTTGGTCAATATAATATGCCTTTATCTTGGCTTTTTCACAGATTTATCTGGATTCTTGTGAATGACAAAGCACAGGAGTGGTTGGTAAACCTTACACAAATGCACAGAGCAACATGAACATTCGGCTGGAACATCTAGATCATGTTTACAAGAAGGAAAAGTGCAAACAGAAAATCAGTTACTGTGCAAAAGACTTCAGGAGCAAAATCAACTGCTCACGAGCTCAGCTGCTCACGAACTTCAGTGGCAGAGGAAGAGAGATTTGGTACACGAAAAAATAGTCAGGGGCTCTCTAGGAACCAGGAACAGAAAGCAACACTGTCTACAGTGTGAGGGAAACTCATTAAAATGTCTTGTCCTACTTTAGTAGGGCGTGCTTTGAGAAAGGTGCTGAAGAGCAGAACCACAGGGAACATTTCCTGGGATGAAAGATTTGAAGCTTGAGGACCTCTTGACCCAGGAGTCTTATATATAGCAAGACCCAGTGCATGGAGGGTGAAGCTATATAACCATAGAAGGAAGTGGGATCTCAGTTTCAGTGTAAGCACTGATGCTGAATTTTGTTGCCCTTCTCTTTCTATCCTTCTTCTGGCTCCTCTATTTCATTAAGCAACATTTTTGCAGTACTTCAAGGCTACTAGTTTATCATTTAGGGTGAAAAGAAGGAATCTAAGCTGTGGCTTAAACTAACACAAAGTGAAGCCCAACAAGTCAGAAAAAACTAGTAAGAACAAGGCAGAACAGCCTAGTCAAGCATGAAGGTCTCTCATATTGGTCTTAAGTCAGAGTTGCAGTTTTGATCTTTATTTTTTAAAATCTATGGCCTAATTTTGCTTGAAGTTATAGTCTGTGATCTGCAGGTGGTCAAACTGATAACAATGTCACCTTCCGGCTTTCAGATCATTGCATGAACTGCACAAAAACAGGTCAGGCAGAAGGGCACATAAGAATCATGTTGGGAAGACTGAAAGCAGTGTCTTCTCTTTAAATCTGCTGATGGAAGAGTGGTGGAGATGTTCATGAAATCTCAAAGCTGTACAGAAAAATAAGTTAGTTATGACAGGCAGCTCCTCCTTCCCCAGACTGCTGATGAGCCTAACCCTAACCTGTTGCCTCAAAATGTTTTCTCTGCAGTGACAAGGTCTGGCTGGAAGTCTGTTCTATCTCCTGTTCAGGGTCAGAATAACTGTGGGGCTGGGGCTGATAGTCCCAAAGTGAGCAAAATTTATTAAAAGAAAAAAAAAATCAAACCATACACACACAAACAAAAGAAAAATCCAAACAAACAAACAAACAAAACCTCCAAAACCACGCAAAAAACACAAACAAAAACTGGAAACAAAACCAAAAATAAAACCAAAAAAAACCACCACCAAAATCAAACAAACGGCAAAAAACCCCCACCAACTGTCAAATAACTTCATAGAAACAGTGCTCACTTGAGGGAAATACTTGCCAGGACAGGTCCCCTTGCCCAGGAGATAGCAGGGCAAGTGTTCCCTGGTTTGCAACTGCAGCAGCTCTGCCCTAGCGGACAGTGGTGGAAATGAAACCACAAAAATCCCCCACGCAAACTCTGCTCTCCCTAAGCATGGAGTCCCTCAGCACCCTGTGATCCTCAGCGCCATCCATAGGAATGGGAGACCAACTTCCATCTGCCATGGCCTTACTGCCTGCCAGTTTCATGGAAGATATAAAGTAGAAAATAAATCTCCACCACTACAAATTACTGCAGGGGCAAAAGAAAATCAATACACTGTAACTTCACACCATCTCAATGCCATTAAAAGATCGTTGAAAACCAATCAAAAGGGCATTCATAATTCACTCATGCTCACCTGACTGAATCCACGTCACAGTCAGGAAGCGCATGTACATCATAATCTTGTCCCATCATTTTGCACAACCCCTGTCTTTGAGACAGGAGGAGGGATTTCAGCAGCAAGGTTCATGCATTGTATCAGTGCCTTCAAACCTTGGGGTCTAGCTCTGCTGAGCTCTGACCATCCCAGTCTTTGACTTCCTTG